AGCTTCCTACTGTCTGCCCTTTCCCCCTTCCCAAGGTGCGAGCGACACATCCCGACTGCTCCGTCGTCCTCTACTTCCAAGAGCAAGAAGCTGAATGTCTGGAGATTATCAGGAGGGAAAGCCAAACGTCAGCCCCCCCCGGATCTCCCGGGCAGCAAGGTGAGTGCGGGCTGCCCGCCATGCATGGGGCTCGTCTCCCTCAGGAGGAGAAGGGGGATTTGCTAAGGGGGTCTTTGGAGGGTGATCCATGGTGGGGGCGGGGGGGGGATTGCAGAAGAGCAGGTATTTTCAGGAAAATGGAGAGCAGCACCGAGGTGAAGGCTAAGGACAAGGGGAAAGAGCTTCAAGTTGCACCAGGGGAAGTTTAGGATGGATATAAGGAAAAATTCCTTCACCGAAAGGGTTGTCAAGCATTGGAACGTGCTGCCCAGGGAAGGGGTGGCATCGCCATCCCTGGAGGTATTTAAAAGACGGGCAGACGTGGTGCTGAGGGACATGGTTTAGTGGTGGTTTGATGGTTGGACTCGATGATCTTCAAGGTGTCTTCCAACCGAAACGATTCTATGATTCTGTGATTCTAAGCATCCCTGGAGAGCCCCAAAATTGCTGCTGCAGGGAGAGAGGGAGGCTGAGATTTCACCCGAGGCGGGTACGGGTGGGCTGAGGGATGCAAATAACCTCAGGGGCTGAGTCCCCCCGAGATTTAAGGCATATGGCAACAAAATGATGGTGTGGTCCATGCCCCAAGCAGAGCCTCGTGGCCCCCTGCTGTCTCCCCTGCACCAGTGCTCCAGGACCGGGTAAGGATACGGTCATGGGCGATGCGGAGCCCTGGCCATCAGCATGAGTGTCGCACGGTGCATGTCACCACTTCGTGCCTTCCTAATTCGGTTAGTTTTAATGCGTAACATGTTTTTGAGCATCTGAATTTTTACATATCTGGGACTTTTAAACCAATTAACTAATTGAAAAACAGTTTTAAAGTGCTGCTTTAGTACTTTTTTTTTTTTTTTTAATTGCATTTCAATTTCCATCCAAAAACAGCTTGGCTCAAACTCTGGGTAAAAATTATCACCTACTGAATAAGAAATGCGTCATTCAATGGATTTTCATCTAATACAAATGTAAAAATGAAGTGTCCCAATAAATGCATGTTAAGGTGCATAATTGCTTAAGTAACTGTGCAGAGATATCATCCAGCTTAGCAGAGAAAAGCCAAGTTGATTGGAAAAGGTCCACTTTTCAGCCCAGATCGTGCCAGGCAGGGGGAAGGAATCTCACTGTAGGAAAATAAGCAAGAAGCACGAATGCATAATTAAAATCAGTATTTAATCCCAGGTTTCCTGCTTGACTGCCGCCTCTGCTGCCCACCTGAACTGAATTTATCCCTTCCCCCGTGCGTGCTTGTGCCAGCGTGGGGAGGGTCCTGCAGAGAGCATGGCACGAAGTGACGATGGAGGGGAAGGCTCAGATGCCCTGGACGTGGTGGCAATGTAGCGTGAAGGAGCAGGACAGGGACCTCAGGCTTCAGCATCCTGCTGGGGAACCCGCCGGGGGGCCCTAAATCTGGTTAGAGATCACGTTTGCAACGCTTTCCCTTCAAAGTCTGCTCCAGTGCTCACAGCATTCACTGCTCGGAGAGAGTTGGGAAGAAATAAGCTGCTGGTGAGGCTCAGATGAGCTCTTTTGGAGGTCTACAGGTACCTTTTAGAGCAGCAAGAAATAGGGAGTCAGCCCTGGCAGTTCTGCGTTTAATTAACCAGCAGAAATGCTGGGCAGCAACTTCCCGTCAAACTGCATTTTGAGGGGGAAAAAAATGCTCTTTTCGGCCACGTGAAGGAGAATGTCAAGAGGATAACGCTGGTCACGGGGATGTTTCAGCCCTCCACTGGGAAAACTGGAATGAAGCAGGTTGCTTTGGGTCAGCCCAAACCGAACACCTCGGGCTGCTGCGTTACGCCGGTTGGGAGCCTGGGGACAGGGGACAGCACGAGGACGTAGTGGCCTCTGGGGATCAACAATGTGGGGACATTGAAGGCATAGCTCTTGCCTGCGAGGTGGGCAATGAGACACGTTGACAGTTCCTTTGCTGATGTTTTTTCACCCTCTCCCCCCAGAAGTTGCTTCCATCACCTCTTCTCCATGGGAGAGTGGTCCCCATTTTGCACAGCGCTAAGAAATGGGGTTTTGTTTAGATGCTGCAGCAGCCCAGGAGAGGGGAACAGGGTGGGAAGGGAGACTTAAAACTTTGCGCGCCATCCGGATGGAGGGGTGACTTTATTCCCTGGAACTGCAGCTCTGCATGAATCCCAGCTCAGTCCCTGTGCCATGGGTGGCTCCTCTGGCTCCCAACCAAGTGGTCCCACAGCACTCACTGTGCTGGAAGAGCTCGTTCATACCGTGAGAGAGGCATCTATACACAGCAGGGTGGCTCTGCCGTACAGACACATCCAGATATTTCGCTCAGACCTCAAGAAATGCAGCAACCGCTCTCAGCATCGGTCCCAGTAGCTGTACTCGGTTCAGCTGTCCTCCAGAGCCAAAATTAAGACGTACCTTGACGTTGTAATGACAGCCCTGCAAATCCCTCCAAGCCTGGTCAGATACCTACAGACCGCTTTGCTGAAAATCAGAGAAAACTAATTAGACCTGTCTGAGTCCACATTCCCTGGCTGGGAATAGATGTGCCTCCAGGTTAATAATGTATATCTATGAGGTTAATAATGTACATGTGCAAGGAGGAGAGCTGTCCTGAAAGTGTAATGTCTATGTCTCATCCCGGTGTGCTGCAGCACTAATTCTTCAAGGCCCCGCATCTGCTCGGCCGTCCTCGTTTCCAAGGCAATGGGAGAGTCATTTAAAGCTGAACTTAGAGCTAGAGAGGGAAGCAAAACAAGTTTAAGCTAATTGCTCCCCAGCAAGTCTTGCGGTGCTTTCTCCTGTCCTCTTCCTTTGGGCTGGAGAGACGTCCCGAGCTGGGCCACCATGGCTGCTGGGTGCAGAAATCCAGCATAAACCTGCATTATTTGAGATGCCACCAGGAAAGTTCCAGCCCTTCCCGCACCCTCGTCCCCCGGGGTCTCTCTCCCCACAGGCGCTCTGGGTCTGATGTAGCCCCAGGAAATACCAGGTCCCATCTCGCCGCGGGGCTAAAAGGACATCTCAGCACCGGGGGAGGTCGTTCCCAGAACTGGAGCCGGGATGCTCCTAATTCCTGAGGGGGTACGGCATGGCCCCGTGGATCGGGTGACGGCTGGACGCTCTCCGCTCTCCCGTTACATCCACACAGCCGTGCCTGCTGCTGCCGGCTGTGCCTGGGCACCGGGGGGGCTCTGTCTGTGTGTGTGTCCCCAGCACGTCCCTTCCCGGCAGCGCTCACCATCCCGTCCCTCCCCAGGCTGCCTGACCGAGTGGGATGGAGTGAGCTGCTGGTCGGCCGTGCCCGTCGGCCAGTCCCGATCCGTCGCCTGCCCCGACATCCTCCACGTCTTCAAGAAGTCCAAAGGTGCAGTGCTCTGAATGCCGCCCGGATCGCTCATCCCCCGGGACCGAGGGCTGAGCTGCGCCCACCCCTGCCCACATGGGGGTCCTTGTGCCACCCCACCCCTTCCCCTCTGGTCCCGCAGCTCCTGCCCCGTCCAAAAGCTTGGCATGTATTGCAATCCGAGCAGGGGATGGGCAAAAACAGAGATGCAGGGTTCTGTCACGCCAGGGAAGTCCCCAAAGCCTTTCGTTATCCAGTACCAAGCATCCCCTGTGGGTAGAGCACTTGGGGACCTCATCCTCCAACTGGGAGACACCAGGAGAGCCCCCTACCTGCTCGGTGCCCTCCTTTCCCCATCCACACACCAGCCTAATGCTCCTGACCTGCTTGGTACCACTCCAAGCCACGTGGATGAAAAACGCAGTGTAAGATCATGATTATTTCAAGGCTCTCCCGGGGCGGGTTCTGCTGCCGGGGGAACCACTGCCTCCATCCATCTCAGAGGCAGCGGAGTATGAAGGAGAGCACCCAACCGGCCCCCACGGCACCCGAGCGCTTCCCCGGCTGGGCAAAGGCGATGGAGGGTTGGTAAATGCTTTTGCTTTAGGGCAGAAACAGCTCAGGAGAGGCTCAATGAAGCCCTTGCAGGAGGAGAAAGCCCCTTTTTAGCTTTAATTCCCCACCATGGGGATTCATGCTCGCTTTCACATCCTGCCCGAAGGCGTCCTGGCACCTCCAGGCACAGCACGGGAGGGAAGAGGCGTGATCTGGATGGGAGGGATGGGGCAGCCAGGCCATGCGGGTACCATGCTGCTCCCACAGCCAGGGTGCCGGTGCTGGGATTTAGGCTGCGCCCCGCAGAGCAGGGTGCCATCCATCCCCAGGCTGGACAATTTGGGGGTGCTGATGGAGAGGCGATGCCCGTGGCTCTCGTGAGGTCCCTTCTTGTCGCTGCAGCGCTCATCCGGAGGAACTGCACCGAGTCGGGATGGAGCTTCCCCAGCCCTCCCTACTACAACGCCTGCGAGCTGGAGGCCGTTGGCAGCAATAACGACACCGAGGCCAAGGCAAGTGGGTCCCCCCGGGGACCGTGGGGTACCCTCCCTAGCATCACCCTACCCCACGTTGACCCATCCCACTGGGCAATGAAACATGAAGATGTCTCGTTGGCCTCCTCGTTGTTACTGGGCTGCCTGGAGGCATGTGAGTTTGGCTGGGCACAAGCCCAGCCTGGGTAAGGGCTGGGGCATCATCACCCTGCCACCTCCCGGCCCATGGCAGACCACCACCTCCCAGCCCATGCTGCCTCACTCCGCTGGTGCTTTCCCTTCCAGAAAGGCTATTTTGTCACCATGAAGGTGCTTTATACCTGCGGCTACTCCACGTCCCTGGCAGCCCTGTTCCTGGCCATCGGCATCTTCTCCTGCTTCAGGTAGGGCTCAGCGCTGGCTGCTCCGTGGAGGAAAGCAGGGTAAATCGTGACCAGGGGATGGCTGCTCTCAGTCTCTCCCCTACCCGAGCAACCACGCTCCATCCTTGCCA